GTGGGGGGGGGGGCGGGGAGAAAAGTGCAACAATGAATGAATGGAAATCCAAAATCTCTGTAAATGCTCATTGAAATTAATAATAATAATAAAAAGACCAAGTAAAGAACTGGCCAAATGTGACAATATTTCACAGGTTTAGGTAGTGTTCTCCAGATTACATACACTATTAATAGTACCGGTTCTCCAGAGCCAAGATTCAGAGCAAATTGGTTTCCATTCAACAATTTTCAGACTCCGTGACATTGGTTAGACCCTCCACACTGTAAAAGCACTCTTTCCACATTTTCCCTGTGTCCCCCAACCCCGCTTCCATTTATCTGTGCTTCCTACCCCAAGCCTGCCTTCTGAACTTTATCCCTGTGCATATGCTGCCTTTTTGATCTTGTGCAGTTGGTGGTTCTAAAGAGTGGGTTACTCATACCTTTAAAGGCTCAAAGTTGAGTCAGAGAGGTAATCTGAGCTCCAGGTTTAAAGGTTGATTAAACAGTTACAGTCTCACAGTTTTCATCAGTCTCTATCTATCACATCAGCAAGCCTGGTCTTATTTATGATTTTGGAAACAAGGGCTTTTCTTGGTGGGGCACCTATTCATCCTCTCTTGGTAGCCAAGAGTCTATACCTCTGTGCTATGGTATGTTGGGAATGTAAGACTTTTAAGTCTCATCAACAGGTAATAAATACTGTACTTTGGGCATTTTGCAAGGAAGGACCAGTCCTTGTAGGGGGATGTCATGCTTAGGAAGGTGGAGGGACAGCTCAACAGAGGAAGCAGAGGGATGAGGATGTGCAAGAGTGTGTGTGTGTGTGAGATTAATCATGGGATTGCACAATTTGATGGGGGGTGAGGAAAATGGAAAGAATCTGTTCTCGAAAACAATTCCACAGCAGTGGGGTTTTTGTTTTTTTCTTCAGGATCCAGGTTACAGGAGCCTTGGTGGTGCAGTGGTTAAGTGTGTGGCTAGTAAAGGCAAGGCTGGTGGTTCAAGCTCACCAGAACCCCACAGGAAAAAGGTGTGGCAATTTGCCTCTAAGTAGATCACAGCATTGGAAACCATCGGGGCAGTTCTACTCTGCCCTATCAGATTGCCAGGAGGTGAAATTTCATTCAATGGCAGTAGGTCTTCTGTTGGTGTTGTTTTAATCCACCTCAGACCACTGAAAAGGCAACAGATACTGTCCTTTTGTAAGTAGTGGGAAAGGTTTATGTGTTAACCTAACTTTTTACTTCTGTAAATTTCTTTGTAAATCCCCCCCACCAATTCCTCTCCATTTCTTTCTCCTTCTCCTTTTTTCTTGCCTGAGGGTAATTATACCAAAACCACCCACTGCTGTCAAATTGGTTCAAACTCACAGCAACCCTCCATCAGGTGTCTGAGGTTGTAAATCTTTTGGGAGCAGGAATTCATGCTACCAACTGTGCAGTTAGCAGTCCAACCCTTCACTACCACCAGAACTCCTAGGAAATGTGATGAACCAATGTGGAGTTTATCTTTCAATATGACTTTCCTAGCCACTGAACTTGACTCTGATATGTGAACAGCGCATGCCAGCTCATCCACAAGGGGACTGGCCAGTCTTGCCAATCTACAAGGGATTGGTTAATTTTGCCAATAAATTTGAGTGATTCCAGCAGCAGACTCTCACCAACAGAAAAGGAGACGTAGACATGTAATAGATGTCCTTCAGGACAATACATTCTTGTGCCAGCTAGAATTACAGCAACAGTCATAGTTGGTGCAGAGAATTGGACAATCAACATGAGATGGGACTGCTACCCCTCTCCCCATGGACAAAATCAGGGCTAAACTAAGAGATTTTGCCTCAGTGTGTTGGGCAATTGGGGGTGGGGGAGGGAAAGCCTTTGCCCAAGTTTGTTGGACAATTTGTTGGGAGGTGGGGAGATACAAATCACTATTGGCAGGACTTCGAACTTTGTAACACTGGCCTTAAGCTGCAAGGCACATTTCAGAAGATGTCCTGACTTTATTCAGCTAATTAACCTTTTAACTTCCCCAATATGGTTCTGTGTGGTCTGTGAACTATAGCATTGGATTTTGGGCCCACTAAAATAGTATTCCTTGTAAAGATAGTTAGTGAAGGGGAGGAAGATCCTCAACAAGATGGATTGACACTGTAACTTCAGATTTGGATTCTAGTGTCTCAGTGACAGAAAAGATGGCAGAGGACAGAGAAACCTTCAGGTTGGCTATTTACAGGGTTTTTATAAGTTATACTCAACTCGATGGCACCTAACAACAAAGCCGTAAGACTGGTGTTGCAATGAGCAGAAAGAGGTGCAGAAGTGTGGGACACATGTTATGACCTCATGGGAATTGGTTTTGTGCTACTGATGCTGTTGACAGGGACAGTTCTCCTTTGTGAAGTTGTAGTGGTCAGATATGGCCATCACCAGGTAGCTTTGCTTTTTTTTTTTTAAGACCAGTTAAGCATAGTAGTGAGAAGAGCAGACAAGTACATTACCCTGTGATTGACTGTGAGCAATAGCTGAGAGAACTTTTACAACTAAAAAACTCAAACTCACTGCCCCTGCCTTGTTTCCTATTCACAAGCAACTGTCTACTGGGTTTCAAGAGGCTGTGAACCTCAATGGAAGAACAGTGCCCATCTTCCTCCTGAGATACTGCTAGAGATTTTGAACCTCCATAGTTGGCGGCATTTTGCTTGGCAACACTATAGACTATGCTTCTAAGTAATCTCAATAATAGTTACAGAATACGTGGGTGAATTATTTCCTTCCCTCCATGCCAATGAGAAGTCTGGCATGGTTCTTTGCTGTTCGTTTCTATCAGGGAGCTTGTTCTTCATTTATCCTTCAACTGAGGATGGTCTCAGTTTCACATGAAGACTGCCTATTAGAAACACCAACTTGGGTGGGCCTGGGTGCTGTCGTCCTTCCATGCTAGTACAAAGCAGCAGCTCAAGGCTTCTAGGATTCCTGGTTTCATGTTATTTCTTAGTTGTGGAGAACCCTGGTTATGTGTGTGGGACACTCAGCAATATATTAATGAAAAAAAAAGTTTTAAAATATTTTAATCTGGTATTTTACTGACAATCACTTGAAGGTTTCCTTCAGACCATCTCCATAATGCTTTAATTATTTTAATTCAAACTTTCTCTTATAACTTAGCTCAAATATCTCTACTTCCATTTAAACTACCCCACATCATGTTCAATGGAAGTTAACAGTGTGTGCATCCCACCGCACTGCTTCTACTTCACTGACAGCAAGCATTACCCCATGCCTTACTTTTAGAAAGCTAACACTTAAGTTTTCTTCTCCAACTAAAAATGGAACTCAAGAAATGATCTCCTGTTATTTCTCAACTTCCTTTATTTTATCTCTTTATCCTACACCTGCTCTATATCCAGAGAAAGAAAATATCTGTCCACAGATTATACCATAATTGTTGTAGACAAGATGATTCAGAAATTGTTCATAGTTTTAAAAACTGTGTTAAAATCTATGCCTAGAAATTCCAGCCACAAAATTATCTAACCCCCTATATAGTACTAGGTTAAATGACCAAAGCATTTCTCATGGGGCTGAGGAAAGCTCAAGGGGACAAGAGGATGAACATTTGACTGGTTTCTCCAAGGGCCTTTTGGAGACTGTGATGTTTGAAAATTCAAAGAAATCACACATACTGAGTTTAATTTCCATTAAATAGACTGAATGCAGTATTTTATTAAATTAGAACATTTTAGATGTCATATAATGTAGTACTGAAAACCTTTTAAAATATTAAGATCAACATGAAAAATAAACTCAAACATATTTTTCTTATATTAGACATTTTGCTCAATCTAGAGACATTAACAAGAACAAATTCAAAGTCATCATCAGGAAATGCAAAATAAAGGCTTTTCACCATGAGTTTAAAATGTACTTAAAGGAGGAAATTGTTGTCTAAGTTCTGTGCAACTTTCTAGTATTACCACTTAGGCCACTGGTTGAATCCATTTCCAGAGATGACAGCAACAATCCCCACAGACCACAGGTGACCTCTACACCTACATTCTCAAGAAGGAGCCTTTAGAATTATTTTCATAACAGAACAAGTAATTTTCTAGAAAGAACTAAACAAGGAGATAAAAGTACTAGCAACTAGAAAAGCTAGCACTAAAGAATTATGGTAAAGAAGGAAGCAAAATCCCTAAATTGAAAAAAAAACCAACCAACAAATAAAAGTATTCTGACTACAAGAGAGTCAGTCTTCGCTCCCCTCACTGTGGGGTTTTGAGCTAAGACATCAAGAAAGCAGTGAAGCTGCTTCTCTGAGTCAGTCTACAAGCTGTGAACAGACCCTGCTGCTACCTGTCTTCCTTGTCTACATTCTCAGCCCTGCCACAATACAGCAGGGATCAGGACCACAGATTTATTTTCCCTGAGAGAAGTTTTAGATCTCTGATGGAAACATGACTATGACAAGGAAAACAGAAAAGCAGCAGGATTTAACCTCAGCAGCCTTTCTGGGTGATTGCTAGTCCCGACGACTTGGTGATTTCCAAAGTTGTGAATACCTGTTCAGAAGGAAGGGGATAAAACAAACATGTATTTAGACATCAGTATTGATTAAAATATTCTAAATAACATACTTTATTATTTTTATATAATAAAAATGTTTATAAATTGTATATAGATAGACTGTGACAAAGCCATCACTAGCACAATTACTGGCAACATGCTTTATAATAAATTTTTAAATTACACCAACTGAAGCCAACAACAAACAAAATTTCTTTTTTCCATACCTCCCCACATGTGGGGTGAATTCCAATAGTATCATTGAGCAGCTGTTTTGTGAGACCACATTTCATTGCCACTGCAAATCCTTGGGTAATTTCACCAGCATTTGGTCCAAAAACATGAAATCCTATCACTCGATCCTTTAATGCAGGAACAAAACAAAGAGAATCTCCATTGGTCAACAGTCTATTAAGACCCGACTCACAGTTAATCAGTATTGATTAAAGCATCTACTATAGAGAAAGAACTATAGTACTGAACTGAGCAGACAGCATTACTAAGAGCCCTGTAAGAAAGATTGTTAAATAAGTAAATGTACATCCATAGTTAATCTGCACTCTAAGTTACTAGAACAATTCACTTACTGACTATATGAAGGAGTTCATCAGTATGATGTAAATGTCTCAATTATGCTGGACATAGTGCTACAGAGAAAATATTAGAAATTTTCAATTATTTTAGTTGGAATAAAAACCAACACCCATGGAAGAGGCAATCAAGAAATCAAAAGACGTGTTGCACTGAGAAACTGTGCTATTAAGACCTCTTTAATATGTAAAAGAGAGCAAGGATTTCTGCTTAAATACTAAGGTGTGCTGCCTGATCCTAGCCATGGTACTTTCAACTGTGTGGTATGATATGAAATTTGGAGAATGAATAAAGAAGAACAAAGAAGTAGGGAGGCCTTTGCATTGTGTTGGCAAAGAGTATCAAATACACCATGGATTGCGAAAGAATAAATATATCTGCTTTTATAGAAGTACAGCCAGTATGCTCTCTAGAGGCAAGGTTGATGAAACATTATCTCACATACTTTGAACAGGTTGTCAGAAGCAGCCAGTCATTGGAAAAAGACATCATACTTGGAAAAGTAGTCAGAGAAAGAAAGGAAGATTCTCAATAGGGTGGACTGACACAGTGAGTGCACAATGGGCTTGAGGATGTGGACACTGTGAAGATTGGTGCAGGACAGAGCAAGGTGTCAATCTGTTGTTCATAGGTTTGCTATTAAAGACATAGTCAGCTGGACACTAAGAGTCAACTGGACCTGACAAACCCTAATAGCAACAATGTGCTACATAACAACTTTAAAACCCAACAGTAGGTGTTACTGGGAAGGTGAAGACTGGTCTACACTGGGCTTGTATGAGGAATGCAGGGGTATTCCAGAGCAACTGTGTTGCCTCATAGGAGGAACAGACTCACAAAGGCAGGCAGCTCTTATTGTTCTAAGATTTCATTTTAGGCTGTCCATTGGTCAGATTTCATCAGACTGTATTTTTTCTTTGCATTTTCAGTAACAGTAATATGCAACAGATGAAGACAAGGCACAAGCCAGGTGAAAACTTCACCTACTCACTCTGGAAAAATACCAGAGCCTCTGAACAGCCCACCTCCTGCACAGTGATTAGCAGCTCTCAGATGAGAGCCCCTCTAAGTGTTTGTCAAAAAGCTACCTTCGTTGGTTGTGGGTAAAAATGCCATTTAGAGGTACCGACTAAAGGCTAATAGAATCTAAGAGGCGTTGTCTTGGAAGCAGCATATTTAAACAAGCCACTCGATGGCACATAACCACAAAAATGTGATTATCTGCCAGTTAACATTTCAGTATCACTATAAAATCAAAGAATTAAAAAAAAATTCCAATAGGGACACAAAAAGGCCATCTGTTGGCAATGAGAAAAATGCTAACCCACTACTTAACTAACACTTTCCTTTTTCAGCTACTAAAATTAGTTAAGCTATTGTGATCACTTCTCAGAGCCACTGATATAGAGGTATTGTGCTTATATCAACACATCTTTATTAAATTAATACTTTGATGAGAAATCTATGACTCAAGAATCAAAGAAAATTATCTGAAAAGCCACTAAATAAAAATCAGAAAAGGAAATATACATTTATCCATTTAGACTATGGATACTATAGATAACAAGGAGGAATGACAGGGTAGAAACATAATTATGGGGCAAACATTCATATTTACACAGTGACCTGGGAAGAGAATTCCTGGTTTAATTTTATCTCCCAACCCATACACTCAGGTTACTATCTGCTCTATGATTGTTGACAAGGAATTAATATCATAGTATTTCAAAGAAATCATACCTCTTAGTTATCATGGAATAATTACCAAAACTTTACCTTAAGCGTGGTCAATGCAACACAACGTACCCTATTTCTCACCACTCGCTTATTAGAAGGTATAGAGGGAGATATCCCCTTCCTTCACCTTATTGGGTTTTCTACCAGAAGAAGACACTTTGATAGTGAGGCATGGAGCACCTACTATCCCCAGAGCAGCCAAGGAGTGTCCTAAGTTAAAGCCAGAAGCCTATATGCAGATAGTTTATGGTGCTTCTGGGAAATCTCTGCAGACAGCTCCTGAGCTTCTGATGCAGGAGAGCAAGGTGGAAGCTGTAGGATATGGAACACTGGAAAAAGGAGGGCAGCACTGACAGTAAGGACATCGGATCAAAATCTCCACTTAGGAAGGACAATAAAGGTAGGGCTTGATTCACATTTCCATTTAGCTGTGGTAAAGTAACAGTTTTTAAGTGCTAGGGAGGTACTTGAGAAACGGGAATCTTAATGAGGTAAAGGTAAGGGGCAGGCTTTACTGACTGAGAAAGAGCAACCATGGCAGCAAACCAAAGGAACCAAGGGTAAGTGGAAGAAGAATCAAAGGAAAAAAGGAGAGGTTGTTCCATGTTAAGTGAACAAAGTTAGGAATGGTCTTGTGCCTTGAAAATCAGTATTTCTGTTACAAGATTCAAAATGCTGTTCTAAAGTGCAGTTGAATGCACCTCCCAGCAACCCTGTGAACAGATCTGAACTCTTCCTGTCTTATGCCATTTGCATCACTTCTGACATATCTGAGGCCCACTGCTGCAGACACTGTGTCAATCCATCTGGTATGGGTCTTCTTCTCTTTTACTGACCCTCTATCTCTCCAAATATGATGCCTTTTCCAAGGAACAGCCTGTCCTAAGAACACGCCCAAAGTGTGTGAGATGAACCTTTGTCATCTTTGTCTCCAAAGAGCACTCTGGCTGCACATTCTCCAAAACGCATTTGTTCCCTTAGCAGTTCAAGCTCCTCTACACCACCAGAGCTCAAAGGCATCAATTCTTCTTCTGTCATTCTTATTAACTGTCCAGCTTTTAGAGGCTTAACAAGTGAATGAAAGGACCATGGCCTGAATCAGGCACACGTTAGTGCTCAAGCTGACATCATTACTCCTCAATAATTTGGAGCGGGTCCTGACAGCAGACTTTGTGAATGTAATATAGCTCCTGACTTCTTGACTGCTCGTCTTGACTCTTGATTCTTGACCAAGATGTTGATGGTGAATCCAAGTAAGATGAAATCATTGACAATTTCAAACTTTTTTCCATCCACATCATGCTGGACCAGTCCAATGGTGAGAACTTGGTTTTTTTGATGTAGAGAATAATCCATACTGAAGTCTTTAATCTTCTGTAGCAAGCATTTCAAGTCCTCCTCAGTTTCATCAAGCAAGGTAGAGTCATCTACAAGGTTCAGGCTGTTGATGAGTTTTCCTCCAATCCTGATGCCACATTCTTCTTCATAAGAGTCCAGCTTTTCAAATTATTTTCTCAGCATACAGACAGAACAGGTATAGAGAGAGGATACAACCCTGAAACACATACTCCTTATTTTAGCTTGGGAGGGTGGAGGGACAGCGCAGGAGAGGAAGGCCCTCTATGAGGTGGATTGATTCAGTGACTGGGATAATTGGGATGGGAGTGTCAGAGACAGTGCGATTGGCACAGGACAGAGCGGAGTTTAGGGCTGTTGTACATAGGGTCGCTATGAGTCGCAAGTGACTCAGTGGCACATAACAACAACAACAACAACAGTATTTTCTTGCTCTGTTTGGACAACAGATTCTTGGTCTAGGTATAGGTTTCATATAATTCAGTGCTCTGAAACTCTCATTCAACTCAATGTTAGCCATAATTTTAATGATCCACACAGTCAAATGCCTTTGCAGAGTCAATAAAGCACAAATAGACATTCTTCTGGTATTCTCTGCTTTCAGCCAGGATCCATTTGATAACAGCAATGATATCCCAGGTGACATAGCTTCTTATAAACCTAGCATAAATTTTGGAAGTTCTCTGTCAATGTACTATTTTAGCCATTTTTGTGTTGCTCTTTAGTATTATTTGCATGTGAAATTAAGGATATCGTTGGGAAATTTCCACATTCTGGAGGATCACCTTTCTTGAGAATGGGAACAAATATAGATCTCTTCCAGTCAGAGGCACATCCAGGGTTCTATCTATTAGCTCACACATGTCAACTGGTATCCCATCAATTCCTGGGGCCTTATTTTTTGCTAATGCCTTCAGTGTACCTTGAATGTCTTCCTTCATTACCATTGGCTCTTGATCGTATGGTACTTCCTCATGTATTTCAGTGCTGACCAATTCTTTTTTGGTATAGTGACTTGGTGTATTCCTTCCATCTCCTTTTGATGGTTCCTAGATCATTCAAGATTTTCCCCCAGCATCTCTCAGTATTGCAACTTGAGGCTTGAATTTGTTTTTCCATTCTTTCCACTTGAGAAATGCTGAACGAGTTCTTCCCTTTTTATTCACCAACTCCAGCTCTGTGCATATTACAATAGTTTGCTTTGTCTTCTTGATCGGCCCTTTCTTATCTTCTGCTCAACTCTTTTACTTCTGTATCACTTCTTTTTCTTTTGGCTTCTTGGTGCTGTAATTAATTTTCTGAGTCTCTTCTGACCTCCATTTTGGTCTTTTCTTCCTCTGGTGTCTTTTTAAAAATTTTCTTCAGCCTCAATTTAAACTCAAACGCTGATGGACCTGTTCTAGTTTTGACTGCTAATGAGCTTCCCCAAAAACTGTTTCCACAGATGTAGTCAATCTGACTCCTCTGCGGTCCAACAGGTGAGGTCCATGTGTAAAACCACTATTTGTGCTTTTAAAAAAGATATGTGCAATGAATGAAGCATTGACTATATATAATTCATAATTAATTTCTGGCTTCATTTCTGTCACCAAGTCTATACTTTTTGATTACCATACCTTCTTCATTGTTTCCAAGTTATTCAATACAGTCACCATTATCAACTATGCTTCCGCAGTGATTCTACCACTCAAACCCTGGGCTCTCACGTGTGGAAGTAGGGCTGGGAAAAATCAGAGAAGCAGCCCCAGGAATTGATGGGATACCAGTTGACATTATGATATTCTTTTCATACTGTATTAGATCAAATGAGGGGAAGAACTGTCTGAAGGAAACATATGATTAAGATGTTATATGTATGACAACAATCTGGAACAAGAGGTGCACTGCAGTGTGGACTGGGAGAGGAGAGGGGAAGAAAATGTGCAACAATGAAAAAGAAAATTAATGAACTCAGCTAAGTGGGGAAATGACAACCTTTTTAAAAAATGGGCTGGCAAAACTGGAAAACTATCTGCAGAAAACTCAAGCAAGATCCACACCTCACTCCACACAAAAAAAACAATTCAAAGTGGATCAAGGACCCAGGACTAAAACCAAAGACTATAAACTTCACTGGAGAAAAGCTTAGAAGAACTCTACAAGTCCTAATCGACAAAATGAAAAGCCTTCCAAGCATCCAGAAAAACCTACAACCAGGAGAGGATAAAATAGATGAATAGGGCCTTCTAAGAATCAAATCCCTATGCACATCCAAAAACTTCTCCAACCAGGTAAAAAGGGAAGCCACAGACTAGGAAAAAATATTTGGCAATGACATGTCTGATAAGGGACTTGTATCTAGCATTTATAGAATACTCGAGTGCCAAAACAAGATAAAGGTAAACAACCCAACTGTAAAATGGGCACAGGATATGATGAAGTGTTCAAAATCCCTAGCTCTAAGAGATGCAAATCAAAACAACTATGAGATATCATCTCACTCCAGTAATAATAGCATAATTCAACGGAGCAGCAAACAACAAATGCTGGGGAGGTTGTGGAGAAACGAAAATCCTTATTCACTGTTGGTGGGAGTGTAAAATGGTGCAACCACTATGGAAGGCTGTATGGTGTTGTCTCAAAAATTTGCAAATAGAAATACCATTTGACCCAGCAATTCCACTACTGGGAATATTCCCTAAAGAAACCAGAACTGTCATCCAAGCAGATAGATGCACACCCATGTTTATTGCTGCTTTCTTTACAGCAAAGAGCTGGAAACAATCCATGTGCCCATCAACAATCGAATTGATAGAGAAGCTCTGGTGTATTCACACAAAATGAAACACTATGCTGCATTGAAAAACTCAAGAACTATTACACAAAATGGGTGACCATGGAGGACAGTATGCTGAGTGAAATATCTCAGTCACAAAATTACAAATGCGGCATAGTGCCACTGATGTAAAGCAGGACTGACATGGGAGTTGGAGGGAATCTAAGAAAAGAGAGGATAAATAAAGTATACTGCATTGAAACAGATGAGGGAAAGAACTGTTTAAAAGGAATATATGATTAGGTATTATTGTCATGACAAGATTCTAGAAGAAGAAATGAATAGTAAAGTGGACTGTGGATTTGAGGGGCGGAAGACTGTATAACAAAGGAAGAATTTTTTTCTTTTCAAAGAGAAAAGTAAACTCGGGGGAGAGGTGGACAGGGAGGAAAATGTGCAACAATGAATGAATGAGAAAAAAAATTAAATGGGAAGAATATGCTGTAAAAAAATTAAATTAAAAAAAGAGAAAGAAAATTTTAAAAAATGAATTATAAGCAGGAGTGGCATCTACCTCCTAAATGACATGCCTCCAGAAACCCTATGAGCTGTGATAAATGTCGATAGTTGTAGAGAGGCTTCAGGCCTTTTGTTCATGGGTTGCTATGAGTCGTGCTTGACTCGAAGGCACTCAAAAAAAACAGCAGCATCACATTACGGTATTTTCATATTCATTTGTTACTATGAAAGGTTATCCCTAATTCTGCATTTTCCCCCCACTGCTCATTTTTTATTTGGTGTTTTAGTTGGTATATCATTGCATTTTCTTTATTGAAAAGCTTAATTGGGAATTCATTAACTAGTTAAGAGTTATGTTTTGTCTAAATCTCTCTTTCTAAAGGCATTCTGGTAACACATTCCATTTATAAAATCCACAGAGACACACTCCTTGTAGTTGAGGACTAAAATGTTCAGATCATCTAATTTTAAATTGCCAAGTTAGAGCTACCTCTGAAGAGAGTAATTTCAATTATATATTTTGATAGGACATTAACCTCAATTACAATCTGCCACTTGTTCAATCTCTGTAAATACATTAATTGGTGACAATCTGAATAATTTATTCCTTTCTCTAAAAACTATCTTTAAAGAATGATAAAAATTGGTCGGGGTGGCTACCCACACGCCACCGCCTCCTCGTCACCTAGACCTCCTCGGCTGCTCCGCTCTCTGCTTCTCCTTCGTGCGGCGCTCAACAGACCATGGCCGATCCTCGCGTGAGACAGATCAAGATCAAAACCGGTGTAGTCAGGCGATTGGTCAAAGAAAAAGTGATGTATGAAAAAGAAGCTAAACAAGAAGAAAAGATTGAAAAAAATGAAGGCTGAAGATGGTGAAAATTATGCCATTAAAAAGCAGGCAGAGATCTTGCAAGAGTCCCGTATGATGATCCCAGACTGCCAGCGCAGATTGGAAGCGGCGTATGCCGATCTTCAGCAGTTATTAGACAGTGAGAAAGACTTGGAAGAAGCAGAAGAATATAAAGAAGCACGTGTCGTTCTAGATTCAGTGAAGTTAGAAGCCTGAAATTTTTCTGTATAGGGTATTTTTGCCTTAAAACCTAGGATCCATTCCATAATTCATGATTTTTGACCACTGCTATGTTAACTTTAAGTAGTAAAAGAATGTGATTCTTTTTATGTATTTATGTACGATTATCTTTTATTGCTTTCTAGACAGATTTTTTTTTGTTTGTTTTTATGTAGACAGCTTTTTAAAGTTTCATGATCTAGATTGTGGGGGTATTCTGGGGAACTACTCAAGTGTGATGTCTTTTGCTTTGCTGTTAGCTCAAAACAATTCACTTATTAATTACATCTCATTTTCAAACATGTCTAGCCAGTTGATGGTTAATGAACTAGGCTGAAATGGTGGATACGCATTTTATGTTTTTTTACCTAATTTAAATAAATAAAATGAAATAAATGAGTTTGTCTAATAAAATTAATTCATACTTAAAAAAAAAGAATGATAAAAATTTTAAAAAAAATAGAGGTAGAAGTCACATTTTAAAAAACAGTATTTCTTTTGGCTTTCCATCATGTCACATACATTGTCCCGTTTATTGCAAATTATCTTTGCATAACAAGTATTGTTGTCTCTGTCAGCTATTGTCCACTCCAGAGGCCAGAATAAAGTATGATATACCTGGAGGATGAGAAGAGAGAGAGAGAAAAAAAAAGAACAAGATTAAACTACTCCAGGATAAACTCTTTAATGATATAAAGACAATGTTCTCTGTAACAGCTTTTTAAAGTTTCATGATCTAGATTGTGGGGGTATTCTGGGGAACTACTCAAGTGTGATGTCTTTTGCTTTGCTGTTAGCTCAAAACAATTCACTTATTAATTACATCTCATTTTCAAACATGTCTAGCCAGTTGATGGTTAATGAACTAGGCTGAAATGGTGGATACGCATTTTACCTATACCTTCAATGAATTTGTAATATGTGTATAATGTTCGTACTCAGTCACTATGAGTAGGAGTCAACTTGACAGCACCTAACCTGGGGCTAGGTTCCTCAAAGCAGCAGAACCAATAAAGCTTACAGCAAAAAAGAAAGGTGTCTGAGAGAGTAATTTATGTCAAGGAAAGGGCTTATGCACTTGCAGAGGTTGGCAAGTCCAAAGTCCACAGGTCAGATGTCAGAATAGAGGCTCCTTCTGAGTCACAAAGCTGTATGGGCTGAGGAACATGAGATAAGCAGGGCAGACCTGAGAAGGATGGTGTCTATGGCAGTCAAATCTAAGATCGATGGACTGTTATCAGTTTACTGGTTTAAGGGTAAAGAACTCAAGGTCAGTGACAAGGCAGATGCAGGATTGAAAATCAGCAAAATGCAAGAGAGCCTTGCTGGAAGTCCACAGATATTTCAGTGCAGGACACATCTCTACAGAAACTCTCTTTGGACTGACTGGCTGCTCATTGCAGATCTAACACTGGAGACGATTATCTTTTATTGCTTTCTAGACAGATTTTCTTAAGATTCTCAAAGGAATCTATACTAAAATAGGTTAAAACTCTCTGCTGGCTTAGCGGTAAGCCACTGTGCTGCCAATGCAATGGTACCCAGTGTGACTCCACCAGCTGCTCCACGGGAGAAAGATGGGCAATCTCTTCCTGCACAATTTCTTGCCTCTTAAAACCTGCAGGAGGGTCAGCTATGGGTCATTTCTGACTCGATGGTACACCACCACCCCCAATATCACAACTCTCTCAAAATATTGGTATTTAATGCTATCATGTTCAAGTTTTATTATGATCTCCCATGATGTAATAAACCACATAGACATGTTCGTGGTGGTGGTTGCCTTCAAGATGAGCATGACTCATAGTGACTCTATGAACAAAAGGCCTGAAGCTTTTCTATCACTATCGGTATTTATCAAAATTCATAGTGTTTCCAGAGGCATGTTATTTAGGAAGTAGATGTCACTCTTAGAAAGATTAATATTGGGATGTCATACCCTCAATTCCATTACGGCTCTAATCTGTTATCTTTTGTAAGTAAGGATTTCCTTTGCTTGCGGCCTGTTACACCTTTTACTTCACAAAATAAAAGGGGAGAAAGAAGAGCAGAGGGGGCAACCTGATGCCACCAATAAAGAATCAGCAGGTAGAGTGCCTCCTCCAAACTGAAGTCCCTACAGAGGAAAACTTCTCTCACACAGGGACAGGACAAGGCATGAAGATCTCCAAATAATGCTGGGCCTATTGATGCTAAGGAAACAAGAATCTTCCCACAGAACTGACAGGCATGCAAAGTCTTCTACTGAAGTCAGCACCCTGGATTGTGACTTCTAGCCTTCTTAACTGTGATTTGTCTGTAAAAGCCATCCAAATGTGGAATCTTTATTACAGCAACACTAGAAAACTAAGAAACCTTGGTTCTAAAGAATTAAAAATTTTGTTAAGTCAGGCTACTAGAAGCTATGTAGTAGCAATGTCCTCTTAAGAAAATAATTTCTGTTGTACTTACTATACTATCCTTGGCTAAGAGAATGAACAGGTATGTATTGGAGAGGGTGTAACCAGAGTGCTCTTTGGAGGTAAGAATGATGAGGCTTCGCCTCACATACTTTGGGCATGTTGCTAGGAGGGGTTATTCTTTGGAGAAGGCCATGATGCTGAGTCAGAACCAACCCACAGCTGACCCTCCAGTGGGTTTTCAAAGGCAGTTAATCTCATGGGAGGAGAGTGTCCATCCTTCTCCGGCATCTTTAAGCTTACTCAAGTATATATTTATTACTTGTAACCTCAGAATCCTAACATATACACTATAATTCCATCTCACCCCATTTGTATTCTGATTTGTTTGTTATGCAGAGTTTAAATGACTTAATTTCTAATTCTCCAAGAAGAGAAATATGACTTCCTATAACTAGGGGGTGCTGGTGGCCCATTACTAAGAAGTTGTGCTGCCAACCCTAAGGCACGCAGTTCGAATCCATCAGTTGCTCCATGGGAGAAAGAAGGGCAACCTCCTTTCATGAGATTTATAGTCTCTGTAAGCTTGCTGCAGGATCATAGTACCTGATGGCACTCATCAATAACAGCAGCATAATATAACTATCACATAGTTAACTTACAAAAGGGCAAAATAGTTACAGTGATGAAAAGTTAAAAAAAATTCTTACTTCTAGATTATCTTTTGTATATACTTCAATAGCTTTCTCTTCAGATAATCCACAGCAACCATATTCCAAGGGTGTAAACACTGTAGTTGGAACATTAATATAATCACACTGCAAGATAAACAAATGACATTCTTTCATTTTTATGGCACTTTTTACACAAAATCCATATTAAATACATTTTAAAAATAAATATAAATCAGTCCAGTCCAACGTAACTCATTCTTACACCACCAGAAATTTCAGGGAAATTACAAATGGAATCTGAGATAAAAAGGCAGATGTTCAAAGAGAATGAGTAGGTAACTCTGTGATTTAAAATCAGGAAAGGTGTGTGTTGTCAGATGTATCCTTTGACCATACCTATTAAATTGGTATGATGAGCAAACAATCCAATAAACTGAGTCATATGAAGAACTTGGAATCAGGACAGGACAACCTTTGATATGCAGGTGATGCATTCTTGCTTAACAAAAAGTAGGAGAACCTGAAGTACTTACTGATGAAGATCAAAGACTATACAGTTTTCACTATGGAGTAAAAATCAACATAAAAAAACCCAAAAATCCTCACAACTGGGCCAGCAAGCAACAGTAAAAAATATGGAAAAACATATTAAGGTGCTCAAGTCATTTTACGTGAATTTAAAAGGTAACATTCATGGAAGCAAATGATAAGAAATCAAATGATGTATTATGTACTGTAGAGCTGACTGACTCATAGCAACCCTACAGATCAAAACCTCGCCCTATCCTGTCTCATCTTCATGATCTCAGAAACATGTGAGCCCATTGTTCCAGTCACCATGTCAACTCATCTTATTAAGTGTCATCTTCACTGTCTCTAACCTGCCGCCTTCCCCAAGGTATTTTCTTCCAAGCACTGACCCCTCCTGACAACATGCCCAAAGTGTGTGAGACAGAATTTCATCATTCTTCTCCTCTAAGAAGGAACTTGGCTGCAATTCCTCCAAGTCAGATGTGTTTGTTGTTTTGGCAGACAATGTATCAAGAATGATATACCACAGGGGGCGATTTGCTGCAAAAGATCTCAAAGTGTTAAAAACACAGATGTCACTTTGAGGACTAAGGTGCACCTGGCCCAAGTCAGCCCTGTCAGATGGTTGTAGGTGATGCAATCACGGAGAGGCAGTTAACCCAAAGAAAGCTAAAATATAAGCTGCCCAGAAATATATGGAATGGCAAGAAAAGCTGGAGTGTGTCAAATTTCTTGTTTTGCAGGAAAATTAAATAGAAGCAAAGAAAGAATATTCTTTGGTAGTGAGATAGGTGGTAGATATGCATCATCTACATATCAAAAGTGGAGATAGGTAGCAGTGAAATAGGAAGAAACACATTTCTAAGTTGATTCATCCTCTCCTACTTTTCATTTCAAATGAAAAGCATTCATTTCCGTCCTACAGTGATAGCTGCACTACACGATGAATATAATTAGTGTCAAAGGACTGTACATTCAAAACATGTTGAATTGAGTCTTGTACCTTTAATCTTTCTTAGTCCCCTACACCTTTTATTGTTTTCTACTTTCCCCTCCCCTTGGCTACCATGGTTAACCTCCTAGAGGCAAATGAGGATATTGTTATATTATCATTACTCATAAGCCTTCATTCACTACTTCATATACCATCTGGTTGCAGGATATAGACAGCAAACAATATCTCATGTGGAAATAAACCAAACCAAATCCCCTGTTATCTGTTCTGATTCTTGTGAAGATTACAGACCATAAATGTTCAGCCTGAGCCTAATCATGAGAAAAATTATTTTAAAAATCCAGAATGTAGGTAATTCAACAAGAAAATTTGTCTGGATTCATCCGAGTCAGTGTCATAAAGGGGGAAAATGTAAGCAAATAAACAAAGGGTTGGGAATCAAAAAGACTGGAGAACTATAAAACCAAAATATAACATGTACATCAAAGCATACTTCTGTATGCATACTTATGATGTGAAAATCTATTATGAAATTTTTGTTTCTCTTCTATGCTATGAAAATGAGATTTGCTTTCAGGAATGAATATCCTTGGTTTTAGGTGAATAACCTTATTTTATAGGCCAACACATTTGGGGTTAAAACATCACTGATTCTTGCCACTTCAAAAAGCTCAGGAAAAAGAAAAATTTAAGTATAGAGACATAAACATACTCACTAAAATGTACACAAGGTAAAAAATTATCTGTAATTTATTATTGTGGCAAAGGCAGCAGAAGCTATGATTACTGTATTGAATTTTGAAACAACAAAAAATTATGTGTGGGAATATAAGTATGTATGTAGGAGTATGTGTACAGCTATATATATGAGTATAAATGTGTATACAGAGATGTATACATACATATATGCACTCTGACTATATGCTATATGCACAAACATTCATATATATATATATATATATATATATATATATATATATATATATATAATAAAGCACAAAGGAGCACAATTGTGGATGGCTCTAAGACATAGCCAGATATCTCACAGGATTGATTTTCTTAGTTTGAAAGCTTAGTATCATAGTCTTATGGAATGGATCTGTTAACTACATGTTGTTCATAAAGTTATATTCTACATCCTCATTCACTGAGTAGGTTCTGGGCTCTTAAAAGCTTGCCTGTAGCCATCTAAAAGAAAACTGTTGGTCTCTATTCATCTGGAGAAAAAAGTCAAAGATGAAATAAAAAATTCAAAGAAGAAACTAATTCCACACTTAACAAAATGGTTAGCTTGCACAGGCAAGGGTATTAAGTAAAGATAGTAACATCAGGCGAATATGGAGTCGGACCCCATCAGTACAAAAGCTAGAGGCAGCATTATGTAACTGCCAAGCCACTAAGAAGACCCAGCCAACGGAAAGAAAAGCTTAATCATCCCAGCCCATGCCTAGGCATTCCTTGCTGCCAGATGTAAGGCACTAACATGCAAAGTCAATTTTTCACTCTTGTCACAAATTTAAAATGTCCATTAAGGGAAAAGTTAATAAGTAAGGAGTAGGTATAGTAGGTATAGTCTACAGAACTGAGAGTTACACATGCCACAGTCTCATCCACCCTCAAACCAGAAGAACTAGACAGAACGTGCCTACCACTATTGACCATTCTAAACAGAACAACAGACAGACCTGGTCCAAGCCAAATAAATCTGCTGTTAAGTGAATTCCAACTCATGATACCTCTACAGGACAGAGGAGAACTGTCCCATAGTGTTCCCAAGGCTATTAACTTCTATGGAAACATACGTTCTTCTAAAAACGGCCGGTGGGTTTGAATTGCCAACTTTTTCTTAGAAATTGAGTGCTTGATTTCACGTCTACCCACAGTTTGGTGGGGGGAGGGAGGAAAGGAAATGGGAAAGATTCGGTGGGGACCTGGAAAGACAGAGTTTTGGTGTACATAGTACAATGGTGATTAATTTTCTAAAACACAGTAAATGGGAATGATTGTGTGAAACACAATGTACACAAACTTTGTAAGCAAACCAACATAAAAGAATTGTTTTTTAAACCCCAGAAATTGAGTGTTTTAACCATGGTTCCATTAGTATGTCTGTTGTTGTTAGGTGCCATCCAGTCGAGTATGAATCATAGCGACCCTATGGACAAAAGATCTGAACCCTGTTCTATCCTGTGCCATCCTCACACTTCTTTGACACACAAGAGCCCACTGCAGCAGTCACTGTGTCAGTCCACCTGGTTTGGGGTTTTCCTCTCCTTTACTGACCCTTCACCCTTCCCAGCATCATGCCCTTTTCCAAAGAATAGCCCCTCCTAGCAACATGCCCAAAGTGTGTGAGGCGAAGCCCCATCATTCTTGCCTCCAAAGAGCTCTCTGGCTGCACCCTCTCCAAGACGTCTATGTTTATTCTCTTGGCTGTCTGCCTAGACCTGATAAAGGGGATGAAAATATGAAACAGAAACTCAGCTACAGAAAAAAAGAAAGAGGAAAACCAGAAGCTGAAAAACAAAAGACTTACTGGCCAGGCTGTGACAAGATACTCTTCAAACGCTGAACAGAAACTAACCCCTGAGTTCACCTAGTAGTTAATAACAGGCTGGCTCAAAAATAATGATGATCACCTGGAAGTACTATGATTCTTAAACAAAACCACAAAATTTATATAAGACAAAATGATCAATCTTTAAAACAAAGATGACAATGTAAGAGGAAACTGTCGTAAGACATCATTGGACTATGAAATCAGAGGTGGGGAGGCCTTGCCCTGTCGTGCACATCCTCATGACGCTTCCACCCTCTGCTGCAGTAACTTTGTCGATCCATCTTGCACAGGTTCCTCCTAGCCTTTGCTGACCCTCTACTTTCCCCAGCATGATTCCCCCGCAAGGACTAGTGTCTCCTGACCACATGCCCAAGAATATGAAACAAAGTTTCACCCTCCTTGATGGTAGTACCTTAGTTTCACTTCCTCTGGAAAGAAAGCAGTCAAAATGGAAATAATGACCATGTTAAGGAATATAATCACTGTTACAATCTGTGTAGAAACTGCTGAACAGGAACATAACTGCTATGTAAACATTCACAAGAAAAAACAATGACATTATTTTTAAAGAAAGCAGGGAAAAGGAGGCTAAGACTCTTAACAGTCCCCACTGTCTATAGAAGGCCACAGCAATTCTTTGTGGCATCAAAGATTTCAGGCCTTCTTAATCATTTCTGAGAATTCTTCATTCTTAAAAACTCACCACTGTACCAATTGGCAACATCATGACAGAGAAAAGACTTCACCTTACTTGGACCCACAATCAATCAATACCCTTGGTACCAGGAGTCTGGAGATCAGGAGACATACTGCAGTCAGAGACCTCTAAAAATTACCAAAGAGCAGCAACGTCAGTTTGAGGACTAAGGCATACCTGATTCAGGCCATAGTTTTTCAATAACTTGCTTTGCACCCAATAGCTGGTCAATGTATAAGGATGTCAGAAAAACTGATGATGCCTTTGAGTTGCAGTACTGGAAAAAGAATACTGAATAGACTGCCTGAAGAATAAATAGATGTCTTGGAGAAAGCATAGCCAGGGTGCTCCCTGGAGACAAAGCTGACAAAGTCTCACAAACTCTGGGTACTTTGTTAACAAAGGTTGTGAGTCATCATGTTTGGAAAGATGAAGGGTAGGCGAAGGACAGGAAGACCCTCACTAGATGGACTGACACAGTGACTCCTGCTATGGGCTTGAGTATGTCAGAAATTATGAGGATGGCACAGGAGAGGACAAGGATCAGATCTGCTGTTCCTAGGGTCACCAGGAGTCCTATTTGACTTGACAGCACCTAACATCACCAGTTACTCTGCCTATATATATTAACTCCAAGTTCTATTTGGGTTTTAGATGGTTTGTGTTGGTGTTTTTTTAAAACAGAGCAGGTCCCCAGGGACAAAATGCCAGTAAGGCCACCCCTCTCTGTTGGTCTTTCATTTGCCAGTGTCTCCAAATATTCAAAAAGGCTCCTGATACAAAGACTAATCCTTCCCTTAGGTGATTAGACTATTCATAGTTCTTTTTTTTTTTTTTTTAAAGAAAAGCAAAATTTCTTTTTCTACCAAATCTCCAATCCATGTTCCAGCCAATGGATGAAGAGTATTTTAGCCACACATAGATTCCTGGTAAATATATATCTCTCTCCATATATATGTATGTGTGTGTATTTATATATCTCCCCTAGGCATCTGAGAGCAGATGTTTCCAAATGCTCCTTCCTTGCTGCCACTTCTGCCCAAACGGGGCATTAAGCAGTCCTGGGCCTGTACTAACAGTCCTATCTCCACTCTACTGTCTGAAGACTTAGGAACATGGATGATTATAATGTCCCAACAATAGCCAAATAGATCTGAATCAAGTCTTAAAAACACTAACTGAAGTGCCTGCTATTTGCTGGTCACAGGCTGAGGCACTGGCAGTGACTCTGCTGGTTCTGAGGAAGAGAAGCGGTGCTGGAGAGCTGGAAGGAGGATGCGTGCTGGGGGCTGAGGGGGCACGCTCCTCCTCTGCTCACAACGAAATCATTTATCTGTGCGTGCTCTTAGTAGAAAACAACTTAACTTTCTCAGTTCTGAATTACTCATCATTCCAAACCTATTCCAATGATGCGCCAAGAATATCAAAGGTGCAAGAGACTGGAGAAATCATCTGATTCACATGACCAATTCTGCAGATACTGAAACTGAGGTCCAGATAAGTTAAATGATTAGACCAAATTTTCATATCAATTAGGCACTGAAGCCAGGATGGCTAGAATGCAGGCGCTCATTCCCATGCTTAATGAAATCCTCTACTACAAAAACAGTAATATATTTATGAAGTCTTTTAGAAAACTAATCATTTCATTGTTGGACAACGAATAGGGAGGACAGGAGAATTGATGCCTTTGAGCTGTGGTGCTGGAGAAGAGTACTGAATGTACCATGGACTGCCAAGAAAACAAACAGATTCATCCTGGAGAGGGTTAAACCAGGCTACTCCTTGGAGGCAAGGATTCTGGGGCTTTGTCTGACATACTTTGGACATGCTGTAAGGAGAGACAGGTCCTTGGAGAGGGACATCATGCTTGGTAGGGTGGAGGGACAGGACAGGAGGGGAAGACCCTCTATGAGGTGGACTGATTCAGTGACTGGGGTAATCGGGATGGGTGTGTCAGTGGCCATGCGACTGGCACAGGATAGAGCACGGTTTAGGGCTGTTGTACATAGGGTCGCTATGAGTCGCAAACAACTCTATGGCACATAACAATAACAACAACAATCATATCTTTCAGGTAGGAGTACTGACTCATTCCTCAGTACCCTAAATAAATGTGCTTGTAGCACTCTTTGGCACTCATGATTTCCCTGAGGAGCAATGACGTCAGTCTAGAGAGTAACATGTGCCTGATTCAGGTCATGGTCTTTGCAATTACATGCTATGCATCAGAGATCTGGACAATGACTAAGGATGACAGAAGAATAATTGAGGCCTTTGAGTTGTAGTGCTAGAGAAGAATACTGAACATATCATGGACTGCCAAGAGAACAAACAGGTCTGTCTTGGAGAGGCTGAAACCAAATTTCTACCTAGAGGCAAGGATTTTGAAGCTTTGTCTCACGTATTTGGGGCACATGGCCAGGAGGAACCAGTCCGTGGCGAAGGACATCATGCTCAAAAGGGTGGAGGGACAGCTCAGAAGAGGAAGAACCCAGATGAAATGGATTCACATGGTAACTGAGGCAATGGAATTAGGTATGTTGGAGTCAGTGAGACTGGCTCAGGATAGCAAAGCTTCAGAGCTGTTGTACACAGGGTAGCTGTGAGTCACAAGCAACTTGACAGTACTTAACAACAACAACAACAATTAGTTCTATACATGACTAAATTAGAATTCCACAATCCTGCTAAGTCCCTTAGAGTTGGAACCACGGCCAATCCTTTGTATTTACTGCACAAAGTAGATACTAAAAACAAGACATCAACTGCAAATTATATCTGTGAGATACCTGTCCCTTGGAAAACAAGCAAAGAAGTTTTGTACTGACTGTTAAAGATAAACTTTTCTTTTTTTTTTTTCGAATTTTTTAAAATTAATTTTAATGAAAGTTTACAGAGACTTTGGATTTCCATTCATTCAAACTTACCTTTTCTAAAGAGCCTCCAAAAAGTCTTCGAGCTAGCAGCTTGCCTGCCTGTATGGCCACAGGAGTGAGCTCTGGTTTACCCTCCAAAATATCGCCAATGGCATAGACATAAGGCACATTGGTTTGTTCCACATCATTTACTGGTATTTTGCCAGTCCTATTTGTAGGAAAGAAGGAAAATACATAGTATGACTCACTATATTGCCAATGACTAACACTATTTAAAGAGGAAAAAAGACTATGCGCAGAAGAAAGACAATACACAGGACCTCAGGTTCCAGGGAGCTCTGGAGCCCAGAGGTAGGAAGCTGCACTGCAATCCAAAGGCAGCATTTGGCATCCACCAGCTGCACCGCAGGAGAAGCATGGGCAATCTCCTCCTGGGTAATTAACTGCCTCTGAAGACTCACTGGAGGGTTGGCTCATGGTCAGTACTGACTTGATGGTACACAACAAGACGTTCAATAGCTTGGCATAACAAGGTGTCTCTTTCTGATTGGTGAAATAAAGCACATTTTTAGGATGCACAGGATCTTCTAAGACTTTCCCTATAGTCAGATTTAGTGTTTTGGAATTCTTCTCCTCTTCTGACCAAAGATTTAGCATTTTATTCTAAATCACAAATAATAGATGAATGGATTTCCACAAACTTCTTTTAACAAATATAATGCATGTGGTCTTTGAAGTCACCCATTAAATAGTAAAAGATGAAGAACTTCAGAACTGGAACAGTAGTTATTGTGAGATCTGTTAACTGCCATTAAAAGGGGTCTCTAACTCAGGGTGACCCTTTGCACCACGGGACAAAACACTGTCTGGTTCTGCAGGATCTCAATTATGGGATGTGGACAGAACCACTGAGATCCACAAGGTTTTCACTGGCTGATTTTCAGGATGAAACGGCAAGGTCTTTTTCCTAATCTGTGTTCAACTAAAAGATCTGCTCACACTTGATCAGCATCATAGTAAACGTAAGCCTCCAATGACAGACAAACGGGACCCATGATGTGCACTGGCTGGAACTATACGTGGGTCTCCCACTTGGAAGGTGAAAATTCTACCACTGAATCAACACTGTCTGCAAGGCAAATTTAAAGTATTAATGTCTCCACCAAGATACTAGAAAACAAATATAACAGATATAGATGATAACTTTGGAACCTTGAGTTTAAAAGGAAAAGACAAAGAAGTACTTCAAATACTGACTGGAAGAATCCAGAGGGGGTAAAATGAGACAGCAGGAGCACAGAACTGTAAGCAGTGTGGCTCAGTGTAAGTGCACAGCCAGGGTACCCTGTTGCCAATGGATCCATAGCAGCAGCTAGTTAAAAACAGGAAAGGTGATACCTCTCCCTCTTTGTTCCACTTGCCCTGTGGCTGCCCTTGTTCCCTATAGGATTCCAGCTGCCTGAGGCCAGGCCTGGGCCATTTTCTCAGAAGCATTGCATAGCTTTACATTTAAAGCCAACAAGTTATGCCAAGGCTGGCCTGCAATCATCCTCTGGATTGGCAGGCATACCACCTCTGACTAGGGTCCTTGCCTTTTTTTTTAATTCATTCATTGCTACTTATTTTCCTCCCTCCACCCTGTCCCAGTCCACTTTGGAGTACACTTCTTGTTCCAGATTGCTGTCACACACAGAATGCCTAATCATATATTCCTTTCAGACAGTTCTTCCCCTCATCTGTTCCAATGTAGTGTTCAATACCTATCCATTCCTTTCCTATTCTTCTCCCAAGCCCCTCTATCAGTCCTATTTTATAACAATGGTGTTGTGCAGTATTTTCCCTTTTATGACAGAGATATTTCACTCAGCATTATGTCTTTCAAGCTTACCCATGTTGTGTGACGTTTTGAGAGTTCAATGTGTTTCAGTACTGCATAATACTCCATTGAGCAAAACAGCATGAGAAAACTGTACATCTATCAACATCCTCTATTACACTTACCAGAAGCCAGGAGATAAACATTACGAAGTACCGAAATACCAAGTGATGCAACACATTACACAACTCAGTTACACGTATGAAAACAATACAAAGAAATCAACATTACAATGATATCTTGTAAGTAACAGACAACTTTAAATCAGAAAATAAAAGATAGGATGGAACATATTGAAAGGATCCTATGCATTCCAAATCAAGATGATTTCAAGGTAAAGTGAACTTTGTTGTTGTTGTTGTTGTTGTTGTTATGTGCCATTGAGCCATTTGCGACTCATAGCGACCCTATGTACAAGAGCCCTAAATGCCATTCTATCCTGTGCCAACCTCACTGTCTCAAACACATTCATTCCCACCACTCCTCACAAAATCGATCCATCTCACCGAGGGTCTTCCCCTCCTGCACCATCCCTCCACTCTCCCAAACATGATGTCCCTCTCCAAAGACGTGTCCCTCCTGGCAACATGTCCAAAGTATGTCAGACGAAGCTTCAGAATCCTTGACTCCAGGGAACATTCTGGCTTCACCCTCTCCAAGACAAACCTGTCTGTTCTCCTAGCAGTCCATGGTATATTCAACACTCTTCTCCAGCACCACAACTGAAAGGCATCAATTCTCTTTCCATCATGCCTATTCACTATCCAACTCTCCGATGCATAGCACATAATTGCAAAGACTATAGCCAGGATCAGGCGCACCTTAGACTCCAGCATGACGTCGCTGCACTTCAGTATTCTTGAGAGATCCCTCAAAGCTGACTTTCCCAATGCAATTCGTCTCTTGATTTCCTGGCTGCCGTTACCAAGAGTGTTGACTGTGAAGCCAAGTAAACTAAAACTGTTAACTATCTCAATCTCTTCGCCATCCATACTGATGCTGCCAATTGGCCCAGTGGTGAGAATCTTTGTTTTCTTGATATTGAGCTTCAATCCATATTGAAGACTGCAGTCCTTGACCTTCTGCAGCAAGCGCTTCAGGACCTCCTCAGTTTCAGCAAGCAAGGTTGTGTCATCTGCATAAGGCAGGTTGTTGACGATTCTTCTACCAATCCTGATGCCACATTCCTCCTCGTACATCCCAGCATCTCGGATAAACTGTTCTGCATACATACTGAAAAGGTATGGAGACAAAATACATCCCTGACGGACCCCCTTCTTGATTCTGAACCATCCAGTGTCTCCCTGCTCTGTTCTGACAACTGCCTCTTGGTCCCAAGTATAGGTTTCACATTAGCACAATCAAATGTTCTGGGATTCCCATTCTTCTCAGAGTCAGCCATAGCTTGTTGTGATCCACAGTCAAAAGCTTTTGCATAGTTAATGAAGCAAAGATAGACATTCTTCTGGTAGTCTCTGCTTTCTGCCAAGATCCATCTAACATTAGCTATAGTATCCCTAGTACCGCAACCTCTTCTAAATCCAGCCCGCACATCTGGCAGTTCTCTGCTGATATATTGTTCCAAATGTTTTTGGATAATTTTCAGCAGAATCTTGCTTGCATGTGATATCAATGATATTGTTCGATAATTTCCACACTCTGTTGGCTCACCTTTCTTTGGAATGGGAACAAATATCGATCTCTTCCAGTCAGTTGGCCAGCTGGCTGTCCTCTAGATTTCCTGGCACAACTTAGTGAGCACATCCAGGGCAGCATCTGTTTGTTGAAATAAATCAATTGGTATTCAGTCAACTCCTGGAGCCTTGTTTATTGCCAATTCCTACATAGCAATTTGAACTTCTTCCTTCATCACCATAGGTTCTTGCTCATGTTATTTCATGAAATTCCTCTTTGTCAGCCAACTCCTTCTGATACAGTAACTCTGTGTACTCCTTCCATCTTCTTTTTATACATCCTGGATCATTCAACATTCTACCCAAACTATCTTTAAGTATTGCCACCCGTGGCTTGAATTTGTTTTCAACTCCTTCAGCTTAAGAAATGCTGAGCGAGTCCAGCCCTTTTGATTTTCTGACTCCAGCTCTCTGCACATTTCATTATAATATCTTGCCTTTTGAAATACTGAATTTTGAAATATTCTATTCAGCTCTTTGATTTCTTGATTTCTTCCTTTAGCTTTGGCTTCTCG